AGTCAAAGCATACTGATTCATAGTAGACATATCCACTAAGGAGAGAAATGATCAAAAGATCACCACAAAGGAGAAAACACCCACAAAAGAGAATAAAAAACTGAAAAAATCAGCAACACAGAGGCACATAGAATATGGCCTAAATTTTCCAAATTTGGCTCACGTGTGTGAAGCAATTGCACGAACAACCCAAGATTATTATGTTAGCAAAAAATTGCTTACTCAATCCCGTTGTTCTTTCACATGAGCACAAACTATAGTGGAATTAGGCAATCGGAAATAATTCAGCGGAATTAAACAACCTTAAAAAATGCTACGAAAGCAAAGGGATAAAGAGTTGTGTACCTGGTGCGAGTCCGGCTCTGCCACTCGTCCCTGCCGCTGAGGTTCTGCGCTCGCCGGAGCACGTCAGGGTCTGCTTCTTGAAGCTCTCTAGCGGGTCGCCGGTCGCCTGCCGTTTTCCGTCTCAGGACGCTGGTGATGATCGCACGAAGATAGATCGCAGGTCCGAAGTCAAGAGTCTGCTTCGTTCTTGACCCACAAGAATAATACAAGACTCCTTTTTTTTTTATGATGATGGATAAGTGAGGATGCTGACCACACACAAAAAATATCCCACTAAGGGATTGACGCTTTGACCGAAGGAAAACAAAAGAAAGAACAAACCCAGAACAGTAGATCCGAAAAAACACCTCACGGAAAAATAAATAAATACTGAGCACAAACCAAGCTCTGATACCACTGTTATGTGTATTTATTTATTCCGACTAGGCTCAGGTCACCCGTAAAATTCGGTCCGTAGTTGTGCACTACAAGGGTACCAAAAGGAGCAACACCCCAACCCAACCTCGCCACACTCCACTCACAAAGAAACGGAGAAGAACTGAGATCAACTCACAAAGGAAGAAAGAAACCCACACGGTAGTCTCACAAAGAGAGAAAAGGAGTTTTTGTACGGTGAAGAAACACAAAGGCAGCCTCTCAATATATAGTGGAGATTAGGGTGGTAATTAAGGCAAGCTTAATTAGGTTAAGGAGTATAGATTGGGCTTGAGTAAATGGGCTGCTGGGTTGGGTGTCAAATATTATTAATATGTTTGGGCCAACCCAAATAAATTAACAATATATATATATATATATGTATGTATATATATATATATATATATATATATATATATATATATATAGAGTTTGGTTCCAGTAAGAATGAGATCTAATGAAAGAAATAAGAATGATTTCTGGCCGTTAGATCTGTATCATTTTGGAGACTGGATCCGTTTCACTAATAGGGTAATTTGGTATTTTCTCATCTAAGCCATATCTATCGATTATTTTCCCTGATTTCCTGCCGATCATCTCCTAAAATTCTTTCCACAATCTCAACGTGATTTTTGTTTCTCCAGCGGCAGTCATGGAGGGTTTAATCACTCATTGGTGGGTTCCTCGCCCTAATTTCATACGCACCACTCTTAATAGTGTCCTAGCCGAAGACCACACATGAGTTCAATTTCTTCATCAGGTATGCAATTTGCATATTGAAAATTTTTCATAATTGTGATCCCTTTTTGTGTCCCTTTTTGCACAGATTTGCATAATTTCTATGTGATTTGAATATAGCTCGATTTTGTGGTGCTGGTTCTTGAATTATGTTTTCCAGAATATTTTAGAGGTTTTAATTTCTTGTCATTGGTAATATTTGTGTGGGTAGGGAGTTTATTCTTAACTTATGAGGGTTTCAATTCCTTATTTTTTTGTTTGTATTTGTGTGGGTTTGCAGCTTATTAGTTATTATTAAGTTATAGCTAATTACACCATGTTTGATGACTATTTTTTACACCATGCATTTTGTATCACAAATACTGCACTCCACTCCTTTGTGTGATGCATTTACATATGGATGTGGGTTCAAATCTCCCATTGACACTTTTTTGACTAAAAGAAAGAGAAATGTTTTGTAATTATTTGAGACTAACAAGAAACAGATATGTAACTAAGTGGTTAAATGAACTTTAATCTTTTTAAGATTTACCTTTTTGATATTTGATTCTTTCATACCAAATTAATTCTTCTACATCAAATTGTCTGGTTAAAAATATTATAATGCATTATGTCATTACAAAAACCTAATTTAATGCATTCTAGTAGCCGATCATATCTGCATTCATTTGTTTTAGTAAGGGGCATGAGTTCCCATCCATTCTTAGGGTTCATACTTCTACTGATTCAAGTAAGCCTTTGCCTTTTACGGTTTGTAATATGCTTTTCGTTTATTCTAATTTCTAGCACATATTTTTAATTCACATGATTTTGTTTTAATTCATTGTATGTGTATGAATTCATTGAGCACTGTCCAGAATGATTGATCCCTTCTATATAAGTCCTCATAACATGCTTTTTAAGTGCATTATATATAATCTTAAGTGCATTATATATACTCTTAAGTGCATTATAAAGAAGTTGCAGTGCATATTCCGTAGGCTCTAGACTGATTTGTAAAGTTTGATGAGTATTTTAGTGATTTGTAGTTTATTACTTTATGTTCTATTGAATGTACGCTACTGCTATTTTGAGTTATATTTGTTAGTGCAATTGTTTGTGCATATGTTGCTATTATTATGTTCTATGCTATTTTCTCTCAGTCTTTCAAAATTATATGTGAAATGATGCAGTTTTGAAAAGATTAAAATGCATTTCTAATAGGTTAAAGTACAAGAGTGAAGTCCTTTTGTTGGTGCATCCTATTGGTTTAAGTACTGCTACCATCAATACTTTGTGTATAAAATGTATTAACAAGCATGATTCTCAGTATAAATAATGTTTTTAAATAAGAGTTGGTTGTTTATTAGCTCAAATGGTAGAGCGGTAAGCATTTGCATATAAATGTGGGTTCGAGTCCCATATAGACAAATAACTGTTATCTTACAATGACATCATACACTATATAAACAATGCAATACAAGATAAATGCTATACACTTAATCTTTTTCAAATATAAAGTCTGCAAATTTCATCAATGACCATTCTAGATTATGCTTCCTTAGTTTTAATCTCATATGGAATGTCACACAGTGACGTGGATTGTTTTAACTAATCAAAATCAATCCCATCAGTGTATGGCAAGTGAGTGGAGTGACATTCCTTCCAATGACAAGTCTTTGCTTTTGTCAGTTTTTACACTTTTTAAACATATTTTAATTATTAAAAATTATTTTACTTATCTTTTTTCAGATGTATTCCTTTTTTAATTTTTTTTTTTACAAAAAACAACAAATTAAAAATAAAAAAAGAGTGTCTGGCAGTTGCCATGCCAAGCATGGAAAAATAGCCACGCGAGGAAAATAGATTAATTGGATGATGCGGGGGCGTGGCAAGGAATTGCCTCGCAAGTGCACGTGCTCTTAATACGCCGTATATATACTCCCATTAGACATCAATTGCACATGCAATGCATTGTGTTGCAGCTATAGGTCAGCATGGTGCATGCATACGGATAAAAAATCTTATTAGTTAATGCAAATTTCTAATATGTGTGCATATTTGATAATACAAATTGCATATATATATATATATATATATATATGAGAATAGTGCATACAAATAACAAAAATAACTAGTGAGAAAAAGTTCATTGACTTGTATTAAGTAGCTAAAATCATTGTCTAGTGCACCACAATTGCATGAATAATTGTAAAGAAAGTGTTAAAAACTAAAAGATGGGTAAAAAGTATTTAGGAGAGAATAAAACATGAACGGCACATATTATATTTTTTTCAAAATTAATTACGGACTACATTTTCATTTCTAGATATTGCCCAATTACAATTTTTTAACAAAAGAATTTGATATGCTTTTTAGATAAATCCGTACTACAAATCTCTATCACATTGATTTTTTACGGTCTCCAATACAATATTTTAACTATTAATATCTCCATTTAGGTATAGGCATTCATTATAAATACATGATATTTAGAACTGCATTACAAAATAAATCTATTGATATTATATTTACATTACAGTTCATTAAATTTTCATAATAATCAATGAAATTACAAATTGATTACATAACATGCATCCCATGTTGCATAAATCTTATGCGGAGCATGCTACATTTACCCCAAAATTTGTATCTCATTTGTACACCAAAGGTATGCACCAACATTTTGATGTTTCACACTAACACAAAATATTGGTGCGTTAACAAAAATCTACACTGTCACAAAGTGTTGGTGCATTAACAAAAGTTAACATTACACAAACACAAAATATTGGTGTATCCCTGCGATGTACAAAATAATACTCCGTACAAAATAAAGTACAAAATTTCGAAATACAAATAACATTATCCATATTATGCACGTCATGCATAGAAGAGTTACTCCGTATTGCTAATTTTTAATAAAGAAAATTGGTTGGAATGTTTTTAAAATAAGGAAGAAAAGGGGCGACAACTTCTAATAGATGAATAAAGCCTTAATTGCACAGTGCTCTAGATGGTAAGGTCAAAAGTCAAGGGATTCATCCCAATATTCATAATTTATACGCATTTTCTAATGCAACAATGTTTGACAATATTACCCTTACCAAAGGGGATTGTTCCTGATTTTATGCATCACCATAATTACTTAACATATATAAATAAGCTTTTAAACGGGTAATCCTTTTTTTGAGAACCATCCGATTCATTTTGTAGATGGCTAAGATATATTCTTATTTCTTTCACTAAGAGTCATTCTCACATGAACCAACCCCTATATATATATATATATATATATACTCCCTCCATCCCGTCAGATAAATTTGCAGTTGGGAAGGTGTTTCATCATTCAATCACTATATATATATATATATATATATATATATATATATATATATATATATATATATATATATATATATATATATATATATATATATATATATATATATATATATATATATATATATATATATATATATATATATGAACCTCTGCGCGGCTCTCTGGATTGACGATGGCAGAGATGGAAGAGAACGACGAGTTCTACCTGAGGTACTACGTCGGCCACAATCAGCACATATCTTTCACTACCTCTAAGATTGGCTCCCTCGTGGACGTGCAGGCCAGCAAAGATCCAGAGGGCCTTCGCATCTTTTATTATCTCGTTCAGGATCTGAAGTGCTTCGTCTTCTCTCTAATCTCCCTCCACTTCAAAATCAAACCCATATGATTTGACACCGTTCATCTCCTCAATGCTGGCCTTTTGTTGAGTTTTTAGCCAGAGTTGGAAGAAATGCAGAAAGAGACGTCTGTAATCGTGCAGTTTGAGTGGAATTGTCAAGAAAGCTAATGTCTTGTAGACCTTATTATAGTACCTTTAGCAGTTGGTTTTGATTTTCTTGGCTTCCTTCCAAGCTTGTGTGCCCAAACTCTAAACTTATGCTTAGCGAATCCATTGATTGCTCATCGAATGCTATGATTCTTAATTTGTGGATTTTATAAAATTCGTGAAGTGCTTCTTTCCATTTTGAATCATTTTGAATGAAAAATATATATATATATATATATATATATATATATATATATATATATATATATATATATATATAGTGATTGAATGATGAAACACCTTCCCTCCATCCCGTCAGAAATGGACACTCCGGCTTTGTTGTTGCTGAAGAAGTTCTGTTTCCTTCGTCATGTCCGTCGTCAGGTTCAAGAACATCTCGTTGAGGGTGAAGACAATGGGTTGTCCTAGCTCCAACACCATGCTTATTGATATCAAAGCCATTGGCATAAAGCATTATTGAGGGAGGCTAAGAAAAGTATATTTGATCCACTCCACTAACTTAAAAAGCAAGGGCAAAATAGTAAAATTACACTCTTTTACACTTTTTTGGTACAATAGCCAGAATGAAAGTGGACAAAGACTAGGACGGAGGGAGTATAATTGAACACAATATGAATAAAGAGTATAACATGAAAAAAGAAATATTTAACACAATTGAAATGAAAAGTTAACCAAACAACTTAGGTAAATGAAAGTGACACGAAACTAATATTATAGTTGCAAAAATTTTAAAAAACACAATTTTGAAATTCAACTTTTTTCTATTAAAAAAGATGAATTCAAATTTTTACCATGTTTGTTAAAAGATATAGGTAGGATCTTTTGATATGTGAGTTAACCATAAATATGTGATTGTTGCTCCTTGGAACACGAATGGAAAATGCTGCATAAAAATTCCCAAGTGTGCACCACTTGGTAATTCTCTTTTCTCAAGTGTGCTAAAAGTTTTTCTCTTAAATAAGACTTTTCTTCAATTGTGATATTAAAAAATAGACATTGAGAATATAAAATAATATCAAAAAAAATAAAAAAGGAAATGAGAAAGTAAAGGAGCTTGAGAACGTAAAATAATATTTATCATGACTAAAAGACACATAAAGATACACCATATCATGAAATTTAGCCCTTTGTTTACTAATTTGAGTATATATGTTTCATCTATCCGTGCCCTAGCCATGAAATTTAGCCTAGAGTCAACACAATAGAAATCAAAGTATACCATGATTAAAGAGAAAAGGAATAATTACAATGAGCTTAGGGAAGAAACATCAATCGCTGATTTGCCAGTTGTTGACTAAAAACACACCTTAAATCTTGAAGCTCTAACATGAGGCACACACTTGAGCCCAATAATTTTCTTCACCAATACTTTCCCCTCCGTGCAAACATGGCCGGCCACGTCTATGAAAACTTTTCGTTCTATAGCATATAAATTTGACTAAACCAACAACAATAGAAACACATTTAAAAAGACAAAATAAGCTATAAGTATGGCCCATTCTTGCATACCTTATCAAAGTCCATTAAATCAAAGTGGTGCATTGGGAACACTGGTGTCTCACCAAAAATTAAGTTTACTATGAGAGAACGAGCATTCAAATGGTGAAAAAAAATTACCCTCTGGGCAATGTGACATTGATAAATTCAGCTACTCGGAGAAGTGTGAGTGACACACCATACGAACCTTACTCATACAAACTCCAGACTCACGTGTCAGACTTTTGATAGGGATTATATTTATCTTTTAGTAATGTTCCTCAACGAACCACATTGGAAGACGCCATGCCTATAACTACGTATCTCACCTCTGCTTCACTATATGCTCACACTTGTTTCTTAGGAACATCCTTAAATATTACAAAGGAAGAAAATCAACCTAGACAGGTAGAAAATCTCAAATAAATGACAACCTGCGCAGGCGGAAATACTCAAATAATGACGCATCTTAATTGCAAGTAATAACAGCCGGGGGTCTCTAGGAAACAACCTCCCTACTTCCGAGTAGGATCAAGGTCTGCGTACACACACCCTCCCCAGACCCTAGTGTAGTGGGATTCAACTGGGTTGTTGTTGTTGTTGTTAATTGCGAGTAATTGGGAGGAAATTTACAAACCTCACGTTACACAACTGTAGCAAGGTCGAACTCATGTGAAAAACCAGTAACTCGATTGCAGCAGAAATCAGAAGAAACTAAAACGCAAATCAAAATTGTGTGTTGGTCGCCATCCTATGAATCCACCTGCCTTTAGATTCAGAGTTATGCATCAAAAATGTGGTTTGTTTTTGCCTATTTATTTACCTTCTGTGATGTGTCAGTGATTTGCTTCATAGGGAGGCAGTATATCTTTGCCTTAATTCAACATAGAATTGTGAGTGATAACATGCAAAATTTTAAATTAATATCCCTAAACCAAATCAAAGGATTGGGGAACATGGGTCTTTTGCATGAACAAAAAAATCTTTGCTTCAATTCAACATGGAATTGTGAGTGAAGACATGCAAAAATTATTAAATCAACATCCCTAAACCAAATGAAAAGGAAGGTGAAATTACTTGGGCGATGACTAACGGGAGAAGCACTGGAGAGGACGTATTGTAAACCGATTCTACCAGAGATTGATGAAGGAAGGAAAAGGCGATTGCACCAAAACCTGCATCTCTCCCCGTCAAGCTTGAAATAATTGGGGAAAAATTTTAGGATTTACTTGATGCCAAGTTGAAGAAGAAGAAGAATACCTGTAGTTGTAGTCGTTGCAGCTGGTGGTCTTGCTGGCCGAAGCACGTCAATTGCCTCTAGACAATGCCATAGGCAAAATCGAGCAAAAACAAACCACCACAATCGCCGCCTGAATCATCTCAACCCGTTTCTTTGTTTGTAAGAGAGGCCGTGAATGCAAGGAAATCATATGCACGTCATTACTCTGGCGATGTAGTCCACCCCATAGGCAAAATCGATTGAAAGACAAAAATAATCTGCGTTGAGGTCAAAGAGGTGAAGAGGATTCATGTGCCGAGGGCAAAGAGAAGCTGAGGAGGTAGAGCGTCCATTCAAAGCCATCCAACGCTCTTATCCCTCGTGGCATAGTAATCCAGATCATGCGCCATGTCCCCTCGAAACGGACTTATCATGCGCCATGTCACTGCATTTTTTTGTTTTTATTTATATACCAGAGTGCAGTAGCATAAATTATGCACTTTCATTAATGAAGGGTATATAGAAGCAAAATCCAAAGTTGAAGCATGAGTTCTCATACAATCCATTTCTCACTTCCAGAACCTATAAACATGAGGCATCATAAATCAAAGTTAAAAGATATGGTTACCATTAATAGGAAAGACATCTAAATAAATTAACACTTATAAAAATGCTACTAGGTCATGTGGTATACTATACAAAATTAGACCTGTATACTGTGGGCTATAAGATTCCATGAGGTCAATTCTTACTCTTATTTTCATTTCTCTTTAATATTGTTATCTTAATCTCCCCCTAAATAAAATTCACTTATAATATTCACACATTAAATGATTAAAAGGTGTATTAGTAGTAGTAGAAGGATAGTAAAATAAAGTAGTAGAAGTAATCTTAATAGTTTTTATATTCAAGCATCTCACCACTTGCTACACCCACAGTTGAGAAAATAAGGCCTTCGTCCATTCAGCTTCAAATACACAAAATAGGGCCTGCAAAATTTAGACAATTAGGTAAAAGTACAGGGCAATCTTGATTCTTTGCTAGATTGCATGTTGCAACTTGTCTAATTAGGGGTATTGATTTGCAATTCAAACAATAAGGGGTGCTGAAAGAACAAATATGATCTCACAATCTAACCAGCAATCCTAATACCTTGGAAAGAATAAGCATTCAAAATATCATCCCTCTTTCTTTAACTAAAAGCTAGACACGGAACAATAGATGCAGATATGAAAGACGAACGAACTGTAAAGCAACACAAAGAAAGAGTGCAGATATGAATCCCCCAATGATTGGTTAAAAGGCTAAGGAGCAGTAGAGCTTTAGCTTGATATTTTTTCCTCAAATTTCTTGAAGTAGGAAACTACTCAGATTGGATTTATATTTCTAGAGAGTGAACAACAAAGGCATAAGAAGTTATTTTTGGTGCTGTCTGCCCCTCACAATTTAAATACGGTAGTTTTAAGAAAAGGTCATAAAGAAGAAGAAGATAATACCTGATGGGTTAGGCGGAGTTGCTCGATAGATGCACCATGACTGGTGAATGGGCGCAAACTTGTCAAAATGCGTCCAACATTGAATCTGGAATGTTTCTTCTTCGTACTGGCTCATTCGTGTACAATGGGTTTGGCTAATTCTGAGGGTCGACGGATGGGTTCCGGAAGCTGCTCACCGGAATCGATGCTTGACGGGCCGGTTTCTTGAACTTCTCCAGTCGCATAGGGGAACAGGCGCCGGTTAAAGCATATGAAACGGCGTATTTGGGTGGCGTCTGATTTTCAAGGCGGAATGTGAACCGGCTCTCGTAAACACTAAATCCACCTCGATGCCATGTCACCTCCATCTCACCTGCCACGTGTCACCCTCATAATGAAATAATCCTACTTTATATACGCTTGACGGGCCAATGTTTTTGAACTTCTCTCGTCGCATAGGGAACAGGCACTGGTGAAAAGATATGAAACGGCGTATTTGGGTGGCGTATGATTTTCAAGGCTGAAAGTGAAACAGCTCTCGTAAACACTAAATCCACCTCAATGCCATGTCACCTCCATCTCACCTGCCACGTGTCACCCTCACAATCAAATAACCCTACTTTATATGTATACTCATACTTGGTGGACAAAATATATGAATAATCTAAGGGTACATTTTTAAAAGCATTCTTTTATAAAAGGAAAGGTAGAAGGGTAGAGGAGTTAGCTGAACCAAGACAGAAAATAAAAAGCTATAGGGAATGATCCACCCGAAGTCTGTTAGGGGAAAAAGGGAAAAAAGTAAAAGAAACAAATCCAAACACTAAAACAAAGTCCTTGGTTAGAACAACTTTGACTTTAAATATCTCAATCCAAAATTATGATCAAAGTTTACGCTGCCAAGCAATAGGCAAACAATCCAAAAAACATCTTCTCCAATATCCAAACTTATATAACTCAAGTTCAGTTCCAACCAAAGACAACCTTTTCAAAACTTGAGTTCAGATTTTAGCATCAAGTTACATCAAATAGCAGTTATATCTTCAACTTCGGACTTCATTACCATTAGAAGAATAGAGACACCAGAATTTGTATATCGAATTGAATCTTCATCATCATGATTTGCCAGAATTTAGACAAACCTAAGGCTTTTAAAAGGAAACAGACAAACAGAATCAAACTTCAAACAGAAGTTGCACAACGAAACAACATTAAAGTTTTCTACGTAGACCTTGGTACTTGGTAGCAAAATACCCAGGTTTCTTTTTATGCAACCTCTTTAATATATAAAGTAAAGCAAATAACTCTGAACTCAAATACGACAGCTAGATGGTATTCGATGGACTCAAAACGTACTTAAAGGCTCAATGATATGTACAAAAATATAAGATCTACTATAGGACTACTAAGATTAAAGCTATAATTGTCAAAATTAGAGCCTCAAACTCTAAAATCTTATCAATTTGTTCAATGTCACCACTATTTGCGAGAGCAAGAACCTTGGTACCCTGTACAGAAATGGTTGAATGGAACATAATTAGTGCATGTAATATGTACGCTCTAAGATTGATTATTTTATAATCTTTATAAGCTTACCTCCTCATCCTGCAATATAAAAGGTCTGTACTTGTTAGGGCTCGTCCTTGAGTCTTTGATGTTCCGTTTCTCCACAACTCTAACCTTACATGTCCATTCCTTTTTGTTGTCATTTATTCCACTGATCATTCCACCTTCCATGTCCATTCCTTTTTGTTGTCATTTGAGTTTAGGATTAAGAGTTTGGGTCTATCTTTGCGATGGGGTTTTGTATCTGGGTTGTCGGGTCACTAAAATTAATAATTTAGGGCTGGGTTTTGGTGCTGGTTTTTGGGGCTCGTTGGTTGGGTTTTGAGTTTTGGGTTTAGACTTTGGGTTTGTTTTCGTGTCGGGTCACAAAAATTAAAACTAAAAGATCGTTGAAGGAAGACACATATTGTGAACCTAGGTAT